TGTGTGTGTGTGTGTGTGTGTGAATATATTGGTTGGTTATGCTCAATAACATCCCTGGATTCTCCCGTCTTGCAATTGCCTACTAACCTAAAGGTGGTTGGAGCCACCCAGGCAGTGCCACAGCAGAAGGCCATGCATTCTGCTTCCATACACATTATAGCCAAGAAAATCCTACAGAGTGGTACTATTCTATAAAATCTGAGCTTGTCGTGAGTTGGAATCAACATTGACCCTCTCGACACCATTTCCTTGAGATCATATTCATACAGATAAATGATTTCTATACTGACCCTACACACCATTCCATTCCCCTTTCTTTCTTAGATAATCATAGCTGGTGAGACCCAGCGGTCCCCATACCCCCCTGCCCCACCCACCCACACACTTCTTTCAAAGAGTATCTATTCCAAAAGTTTGGAGCTACTATGAACAGTATTGCTATGAACATACTGGAACGGGTCACTTGGTGCACAGGTAGACTGGTACATCTATGCTAATGATTTCTTAGGTCATTTCTTAGGACTAGGATTTCTGGGTCCTGGCCTTCTATTTTTGACTGTTTAGCACAGGTCAATTCATCAAAATAAAGCTAAAAGTATTTCAATCCAATCACAGAGCAGGGGTGAATATATGCATGAAAAGTCATTTGCCTCCGTCTGGAGAGACAAAAATGGTTGACCCAGGAAGCACCAATGCCATGCCTTGGTATCCAGTGATTTATGTCCTGATTCTACACCTTTCCATCCCCTTTCCTTCTTCGATCATCCGAGCTGGTGAGACGCAGCGGTCCCAGTACCCTTGGCAGCCACCTTGGGTTCACAAACACAAACATACTTGAGTTCACCTACAGCAAGAAAGATGATAGGTCTGGGGCCAGAGACCGAGAGGCCACGTTCGTCTTGAACTTTTAGTGTGGGCTACAACACTGGTAAGGAATACTGCAAGCATGCACTTGCACATGCAATGCTGCTGTTATAGAAATGCCTTGCTGCACGTGAAGGGGAAGGAAATCACAACAGGTTCACATCACCCTCCCCCACAGATTTTTACACTTTCAATTAATCTCCGCAATCTTCTTTTATTAAAAATGTCTTATCTTTCACATAAGCTGTGAGGATTAAAGAAAGTGTTAAATAGAAGAATTTAGCAAATGCTTATCCTTCAAACTATCTTTGTACAACCATAAAACCCAAACCAAACCCACTCCTACAAGTTCCCACATATCTGGGAGGCTCAGCTTCCAATCTGTAAGATGAAATTAATGAGTACCTTTCTCTAGAAGCATCAGCAGGTGAAGGGGAACCACCACCCTGCATTTAGGGTACTCCCCACCCCATGAATTCGAGTAGGAAGCAGAGTCATTAATAGACGCCAGCATTCATTCATGAATCACCAAAATTATTGAAAACTCTTTACACATCTTATTTTGATAAAACCAAACAGACAAAATGCCCTACATTCCCCAGCATCCCTTGGCACCAGATGCGGCCACCATCTGGGCTCTATCAAACCAACACTCCGATGTGATTCAGAATTGAGCTGCTTGAGAAAACTCTCTAGTCCTAAAGCACTCCTCCGTTCAGCCTGGTGTCAGGGAAGTGGGGACAGCTTGTTTCTAAACTCAGTGGCCACGTGGCAGAGTCCTGATCCCAGCCATGGCAGCAGCTTCCTTATCAAACCCGTCAGTAGCGTGGTTACAAGCACATTCCTAAAAGCTCCGAGTCTAGATATCAGCAATTTCAATAACTCTATGAGCTTTATGCACAATAAATTACCACCTGTGTGATGTAGCTGGAATAGATTCTATTGCTGGCAACCAAGAACCCCTACTATCATCCTCACTATACCTGACAGGTTAATTAGAACCTCCCTCTCAGGCATTTGAAGCCACAAGCAGTTATTCAGAAAAGCAAGGAGAGTTGTGGTAGCGGATTCATCTCGATGGAGGTAAGGTGGGCAGCATCAAATCCAGACTCCAGATGTATCATTCGTAGTGGTGCCCATTGCTAATGTGTCCAACGATCCATGTTGGGAGTAGCAATGCTATCCTCACTTGACTGGGTTATAAACCCATGACTTCAACAATGGCTCTACTGGTGGGTTTTGTTTTTGTTTTGTTTCTCTGAGTCTGATTCTTCAGCCTTCCTAGTGATCCTGTGAGTTTCCAACACCCGCCCTTTTTTAATCTGTTCAACTAGTGAATTGCACTGATAAGGTTTGGAATGTAGAACCAACTTACATTCTTAGGATAAACCCCGACTTGTCATGATTATCATTTTAGTGTGTGTTAGTCCGGGTAGACTAGAGAAACAAATTCATAGACACTTATATGTGTGTGTAAGGAAGAAATTTATATACAAGAGCAACTAAATATTGAGAAAACATCCCAGCCCAGTCCAGATCAAATCCATAAGTCCAAAATTACCCCATATGTCCATACCAATCCATAAATTCTTCTTCAGACTCACACAGCCATGCAATGACGCCAAATGCAGAAAGATCACAGGCCAGTCTTGTGGATCCAGTGGCAGTAGAAGCCTCTCAGCACTGGCGTGGGTCTCCATGTGGCTCCTCCAGTTCTCAAGGCTCTGGCTGCATCAGGGTAGCTCCATGTGGCTTCTCAACAAGCGTGCCTCACAGAGAGTGAGCTTATGTCCTGCCTCCAATGAGCTCTTTATCTCCTTAGTGCCTCTAAATGAGGTCATCAAGCTGCAACCTGATTGACAGGCTACACTCCACCCCTTCACTTGTAAGTCTCAAATTGACAACAGATTATGTAACTACCACACAGGTTATTGTTGGATTCATGTGGTAAAATAGTTTAAGAAGGTTAATAGCTGTTTACAAGGGATTTGGGTCTATGCTTTTCTTCTTGTAAAAAATTTGTCTGGCTTTTGCATCAAATGAATGCTGGCTTCAGTGGATGATTTGAGAAGTGCTTCCTCTTCTTCTGTATTCTGGAAGAGTTTGGGTAGAAATAGTATTACTTCCTCCTTAAATTTTTCATGGAATTCACCAGTGAAGCGATTTGCCTCTGGAGTTTTTTTGGTTTGTTGTTTGTTTTGTTTTGTCTTTTAATGACCACGTCT